GGGAGTCGCCAGAGCTTATTCCTTCCGCCTGCATGGTTGTTCACGGCATTCCCGAACTGGTAACTGGGAACGCTTGTGAGAAGCACTGTCACGATGTCCAGCAATGGAGATGGTTGGCATCCCAGATGGGTCTGGGAAGTTCAGGGGCTGTCTCTATTCTTAGACTGCCTCGACCCACTCACCTAATGTCAATTAACACTCCACGTCTGTTAGCTGTTAAGTTCAGCTCCCGAGACCACTTGACTACTGCTCTTCAGAGATGGTACGAGACCAAGGACAAGGTCAACAGACACATTCGCTGCTGCGAGAGCCGGCCTCGTACCCAAAGGAGAGAGCGAAACGTTGTCATAGAACATCCCCAACCCCTAGTCACAATACAGCGGTGCAGCACGGACGATGATAGCCAGTGTCATCCAAGTGCTCCGATTGAATCAGAAGAAAAAAACGCCAACAGGCCGGTTCCCGGGGAATCGACCAACTAGTTCGTAGGATAACTCCTCAACCGACAGCCCACATCATGTCAACCACCCCCAATACGGGGACGTGGTGAGACTGACTACCAGTTGCCTGTACAGTAATGTGAGAGGTCTAAGAGGCAAAATAGCTGAACTTAGATACCTACAATCACAGCTGAACTCCAAAATCATAATACTGACGGAAGCCTGGCTAACCCCTACGGTGGCAGACAGCGAAGTCAGTATAAATGATATGGTCCTTGTCAGGCGAGATAGGGATCTGAAAGAAGGAGGTGGAGTCGCCATATACGTCGACAAACAGCTCAGATGTGTCCATGCAATCGACCCTTCCCTCATTGAGCTCCCTGACTCCATATGGTGCCATTTCACCGTTGGGTACTGTAAGTATCTAGTGGGCAGCATTTACAGATCACCTTCACCACAACCAAGTACTGCTGAATGCAATTTCAGCGACACATGACATGGGTTATGATCAAGTTGTCATAGCTGGAGACTTCAATGCCCCATCTCTTAACTTGATGACGGGATGTGCCCAGGACAGATTTGATCGAAATCTGCTGCATACCATCACGGAGGCCGGATTCACCGAAAATGTCAGAATGGATACTAGATGGGGCCCAGATGGGAAGTCTTCTAGACCGGATTACGTGCTCACTAGTGGCCAGCTACTAGTGGAAAACGTTCAGATCACGACTCCCATAGGTAGTAGTGACCACGCGGTCATAACATTCGACATAGTCCTCCGCGAGCGTTTACAGTGGGACAATACACAGCCCTATCTGTGTTATAACAAAGCCAATTACACCGAAATGCGAAGACTTTTGTCTGAAGCAAATTGGCCAAAAAATTGGACAGAGCTTACAGTAGAAGAACACTGGAGAGTGGTAAAGGAGATCATTCACCAGGCGATCTCAGACACTGTTCGTTTGGTCACACCTAAAGCTAGAAAGCAACGTTCATGGCTAAAAAGGGGGACACAACGCCTTCTACAGGCGAAGCGAAAAGCCTGGTTTGCGTGGCGAGTATCGAAGAGTCAACCCGAACATGAAGAGTACCTCGAACTCAGGAATCGGTGTAACATACGAGTCCGGAGTGATAGAAGGACATTTCAGAGAAACCTCGCCAATAAGCTTCTCGTGAACCCCAAAAGCCTATACAGGTTTATGTCTGAAAGAAAACCGACCAACCAGGGAGCTTGCAATCTAGTGGGTTCTGATGGGAAATCTCTTACTAGTCTTGAAATGGCAGAGACATTCAGTCTAGCCTTTCACAGGCAACTGAACAGTAACGAGGATTTTACCCCCACAAAACATCAAGATTACAATGCAAGACCAACGTGCGAAAACCTGCTGGGTACATTTAAAACTACCCCGGCCATGGTACTCGTAAAATTGGGAAAGTTGGCTTCGGGAAAGTCTGCAGGTTGCGATGACATAAGACCATCCGTCCTGAAGCAGTGTTCAGAAAGTCTCTGCCAACCCCTAAGTGATCTGTTTCAACACTCCTTTGATGTAGGGAAACTTCCATGTGAATGGAAACGAGCCATCCTATCCCCTATCTTCAAGGGTGGTGACCGGCAGAACGCGACCAGTTACAGACCAGTTGCGCTACTCCCAGTGATATCGAAGATATTGGAAAGTCTCATTGACGACCACATGAGAAAATACTTCGACGGGACTAACCTACTCCATGAAGCACAGCACAGTTTCAGGAGGGGAAGATCCTGTGTGACGAATCTTCTACTAGCTTGGAACGATTGGACACTATCCTGGGATGTAAAGGTACCAGTCCATGTGATCTTTCTCGACTTTGCGAAAGCATTCGACACAGTTCACCATGGTCTGCTCCTTCACAAAATAAGCAAAGCGGGTGTTTCTGGAGCACTTCTCGCATGGCTGGAAGATTATTTAGGCGAGAGAGAATTCTGCACCAAAGTCAACCGCATCCGATCATCCTGGCACACCTCGGCATCAGGGGTTCCTCAGGGTTCTATCTTAGGGCCGTTGATGTTTTTGATTTTTATCAACGACCTGCCCTGTCAACTGAATTGCTCTGCGCTTCTCTACGCTGACGACGTAAAGATTTGGAGAGCAATAAACTCATCGGAAGACTCCGACAGATTGCAGGCTGACCTGCAAACGCTGGGAGACTGGGCTCTGGCTAACGGAATGCCTTTCAACTTAAAGAAGTGCAAAGTAGTGCAACTTCATTCCGGCAGGTCACAGAGTGCAAATTACACCCTTGGTGGCCAGAACTTGAGTTGTGTGCCATCAGAACGCGATCTAGGCCTTATTTTAACAGAAAAGCTAGACACCAGTGTAAATTACACGAGGGACGTCGCCAAAGCTTACGCCACTTTACACTTTATGCATAGGCAGCTGGGAGCTCTTACTCCTGAACTATTCCTAACGTTGTATACGACATACGTGCGGCCACTCCTTGAGGTGCATAATATCATTGCTCCTCCGCTACTCAAAAGGGATGCTAACATGCTAGAAAGTGTCCAGAGACGAGCGACAAAATGGGTGATCGGCCTCCGCAACATATCATATGAGGAGAGACTGAAGAAATTAAGTCTTTTCACACTTAGTTACCGTAGTCACAGGGGAGACCTCATCACCGTCTATAAGATCTTAAATGACCAGGCCCATCCTAATAAGAGCATCCTGCCATTAAGTGATTATAGGCTTCCACGAGGTAACCCGCTAAGGATAGCACACCAGAGACCAAGGACTCGAGTGCGTTCACATTTCTTCTCGCTTCGAGTTTGCCGTCTCTGGAACGCTTTACCGGCGGCCGTAACTACAGCTCCATCTGTGGAGACTTTTAAGCGGAAGCTGGACAATCATGCAGAAATGCATGGTTTGTGTCTCAATGGCTTACCCTCTTAAAATTTGAAACCACATTGTCAATGGATAAGCATACAAGCTAAATCCCCACGACCCGTCCTGTCTTCTCCCACTGTACCGACTACTCTATCTTTTCTTTCTTTCTTTATTATTTCACCTTTATTATTTCACTTATCTCAACCTATATTATCTACACTACAACCTACTATTATTATTATTATTATTACTATTCTACTTTTATGACTATACCGAAGGACCGACGGGTGTTAGGTCAAACTCCATTCACGGCAGCAGCTGAGTCCTAACATACTGCACAATACAAACCACAATCTTGACCAATCCTCGCACCACTCCTCTTGGAGTCTACCAGAGCTAAAGCAGTCGAGTGGCGGGATTTACTACGCATAAGTTCACCGAAGATCTGGAACCTCTACCTTACAATCAAGAAGCGAGCTCAAAGAAATCACTGGTTTATACTAGCTCGTAATCAGGATATTGGATATTGGATTGTATGTTGAAAGCGGTATTTTGACTTTGTTACTCGCGTTTCCGCGTCGTTGTTTCACAGAAGACATGAATCTATTCACTTACTTCAGAAACATCTCTGTCATAATCACCATTTCACTTTTTATTTGCAGCGTTTACGCCTGTCAAATAAATGAAGGGAAAAATACAGAAATGATAACAAAGCTAGAGGGTAATTAGTAGCTGAAGTTTACTACAGGTTTCAATTTAGAGAAAGGGTTTGTAAAATCCTCGCGTGTCAAAAAAGCTATGCAGAATGTGGATCGTGGTTGTTTTGTCGAGACTAACCCTTATAACATTTCTTCAATGTCAACTAAATCCGATGCCATAATTCTTCCTCCCTTTGTCGTGAGTTCAGTAGATTTTATTACTGAGAATCATTGTGAGGCAGAGATTTCAGTATGCCACGTTAGTTTATGCCATGTGACAATCCCTAATGATTTAGTTTTCATAAATTAATACAAATGTGCAGTATAGAAAGCAGATGAAAGTTAACAAACAGAAGTTGAGTTCATAATTAAGGGTCATAAATCAGATTGACAAAACAGAGGTTAGGAAAGATAACTGCCTGGAAATGAACCTCTTCCTCAGAACAATACGTTAAACATTCATGAGTGGCAAGTGGTATGCACTGGTAGTGCTTGGGCAGTTTATACAAGTTTATCAATATTTATTGGAGACTGCATACTTATCGTACACGTGTCTGATGGCTTTCTGGTGATTGGCATGTTTATTCAACCATGTGTACACCTGAAACAGTCCAGAGTTTTCGATTTCATTGCAGAGTTTGTTGAATTCTTTGATACTCGATCTGTGATATGCGTTACGTTCACTTCATGTAAATTTGACTTCAATGAGTAACTAAAGTGTGAATTTCATGAGAATAAACAGGTTGAGCATTGTGGCTATGAATTGTGAATTGAATCATGTTGGTGAGTTTAAACTTGCGTTCGATGATATTATTGGATGGCTGTGTCATGTATATTTTACAATGAATTGTTTTCGATAAAAGTTATGTATAATGTTTCCTTATTAACAGCTAACAGAAAGCTGTTCAGTCAAATTGTTCCAGACTCCACAGGTGCACTTCTGTGTTTCTTTAATTCGATGCGCACACTAAATATTTACCCTTTCATTTTCTGTGATCCAGGAGGCAACTATTCTGGAAGCACTGCATGACTACATCAAAGACGGTTCACACTCTTTAATTATGGAGCGGGGTAGTGGATACCTCTCAGCTTGTGTAACGTTTATGGTGAGTCTATTGTAGTGAAGTGCAATTTTAATTATAGTGTTTCACATGGTTCACATTACCAGAAAGTCTTGGAGCATAGTTTCATGAATATTTAGGCTGACCAGAATATTGCCACTCGAAGCTTGAAATTAGTTCAGGTACGTTGACAAGAACAATATTTTCATCTACAGATTCATTAAGGATGGCGCTGAATGTTTTAATATCATAATACAATGAATTTACATTCATGAACAGAATGAAAAATGACCAGCGGGTTTCCATCCATTGAGTTTAAACATTGCTCATCTCTAAATGTTACCAATACCTTCTGACAATTATATTTTGTCTTTTAACTCATCCCATCAACAATTTTTCGTATATTGGGATTGGAGGATTACGAAAACCTCCGTAACAAGACCTATGATCCTATCCAAAATTTCGTCATGTTTACAGAATTATGGACCTTATCTCACTCTGCTTATCTGAATAACTTAGTGAAGTAAAAGAGTTCGGTTTATATTAACTTGGATGTCTTGATTAGCTGAAGTGAATTTTCAAAGTGAAGCTTTACGCAAAAGTGCTGTGGTTTGAGAATCAAAGATACGGCTAGGAGACATGTAAGGAAGCCATACAATAGGTAAATAATAATGAGAATTGAATAGATCTAGGAGACTACGAATTTGAATCTATTTGCATCATTGATAACGGCTTTGAGTCGTGTCATGAACAGCCTACAGTCTTTGGTTCTTGACATCTTGATTATCCCAGTCAGGTGGTCTTCACCATGCAACAACACTGGCTCAAGTTAGTTACCAGTTACTTCACAGTTTGATAATATGTTTTGATTTAACCATCTCTAATCCCTTCCCAACATAATTCTATACCAGCTAATATTGCCTGACAATGAAGTCGAGGGTTCAACATGGATAATACGTGTCCCAGTCACCTTAGGTAATATAACATGCACTTCCTATGCTTGGACTAGTAGCCAGTTCAGTGTAGTCCTGCAGCATCACCTACAATTTGAATAGGGCAAATCTTGTGTCAAACTTGCTGAGATATCTGCTCAAGGTATTCGAAAGACGCTGGATTTTGTCAGCATCTTTGCTTAGAAGAACTACATCATCTGCATATTCTCAATCGATGAGACTGTTTTATGGTAAAATGTCATTTGGTCTACATGTGATTCGGTTTCCCTTAATCCAGCTCAATTCAGTTGGAGTTTTATGTCCGGAGCATCCTTAGTCTCTCCAGGCTGATTCGGCTTAATAGTTTGTTTGGAGCAATGTTATAATTACTTGCTTTAGAAGTATTTTACAATGACCGAATTACAGGAAATCAACCAGTAACACACAGAAGGATGAATTTAGGAATTTTTATTTGGCGGAATTATTTGTAATTCATATAATAATATACTAACAAACAACAGTAATTATTTAAACAATACAAAGATAGAAATTGTCAATCACCACATCCACAACATGTCAAAGGTCCCCTTCCGTGTTGATAATGATGTCTTGGTTTGCTTGATAGTCTCTGGGATCTTCTAACCGATTCTGCCATATTATTTTCATCAGTATCATCTGGACGTATTTCTGAATTATCTACAAAATCAGGATTAGTAGCGGAATCATTAAAATTGTAATCGGAACGACCTACTTCATTTATTTTCAGTTGATCCAGGTGTTTGTTGTGAACTGAATTATCTTCGATGTCTAATATCTTCACTATTCGATTTCCCATTATTTTCTAGTATGATTCCAACAGAAGGTCTGTAGTCATTTCCTCTGTAATAATGCAAATCAGAAGTCGTGGACATCAGATGCGTTCTGAGAATTCGAGATTTGAATAGCTTAGCAGAAATTTCATAGGTACTCGTATGCTCCTCATCGTGATATTGAGGTTGGAAGTTATCTACAAGCAATCAGGAGTGTGATTCTTCTGAAGTTGTAGAAATTCACCACTCTGTGGTAGTTTCAAAGGGTGTTCCTCCTTCATTCAACCAGTAGGCACTCACTCTTCCCTTCAAACGCTATGCAAATGTGGCGTGAGCATATACACTAGGTCTTTGAGTGCGTTTTCAGTGATTCTCATCGCTGGCATTAGCGACTTCTGCCTACTTCGGAGGACCGGTGTTCACTGGGAGTTCTGATGATGTTGGTAGTATTTCGGGTAAGTTTCGAGTGGTGGTTGATTCAAGCGTTTTGAAGACTTCAGCCTAGAGTTTTCTTTTCTCCTCTTTGGTCATTAGGTTCCAGTCACCACCTGTATTGATCTCTTTCCAGATAGCTTACTGGTTGTTTTACTTTCCATACAATGGACCATTAGGTTGATATTGATTTTCTTAGTATATATCAAAGTGATCTACACACTCATGTCTCTTCTTTTTTTTTCCTACCTCTCAAAGTCTGGGATCAGTGGTAGGACAGAATCCACTCTACCTGATAATAATTTAATGGAAGCGGCTTTGGGGAATTTCGCTAAGTGGCTACAATACACTAAAAAGGTCTTCACATTGGGGACACAAATTATATTCAGATCAGTTAGTGATCTTAAACCTTGGTCACTGAATCCAAAGTATGATGCTATTTATTTGCATGTACTGGATAGAAGTATCATATTTCCAGTAAGTCTACTTATTCAAATGTCATATTTATTTGCGATTTTAATGAGTAATGGCAGAATAATAGTAAATCAGCTGGACAGAGGACGCAGACGACAAGATTCAGGAGTTCATACCGCTCATGAATATTTGTAGTGTATATTTACATGAATAAAAAACAAATGACAGTGAATATTTGCACAGTACAGTTATGCAAACAGTCAGTCACTCATCACACTTACACTTTGTAAATACAAACTGTCATTATTCAGGTAGTGCCATTTTTATTTCTGTGAGAAACTAATACAGTAGAATGAAGATATTTTAGGTGAGAATGAACCACTTGTCCGATTTACGGAATGATGATGGCCAATAGTCTGCCATGTATATCTCACCTTAGTGATCTCCATAAATGATTTTACCGTTACGTGTTCCGTTATGCTTGACTGGTTTCGATTAGACACAAGAGTAACTTTAATGCAGCTAGGTCTCGTAACATCCACTAATTTGTATTTTCTCCCATTTTGCATTTCATGACGATATTGAGTATTTTGCACAGGGGTTGTGACATAATCGACAAACACTTCCAAATATTCAGAAATCCTAGGTAATTATCAACAAAATAGTGGAAGTGATAGCTTGAAATTAATTCGGGTGAAAATTATTGGATATATGCGTTGGTTGCATAGCGGTTAGGACTCTATCCAACCATGCACATGGTCCGAGTTCGATCCGCAGCCGACGCACACCTCATATCAATTGGTCGGCCTGCAAAATTTGGGTAACAATATCACATACTGAAAATTCCATACTTGCACCAATAATACCATGTGGGATCAAGTTATGATGAGAAATCAGAAATGTTAGGTTAAGTGTCCACTTGACAAGTGTGATGAAGGTGAGAATACAATCAACTGAATAGTAAAGTTGGTAAAAGGAGTACGTAGGAGTAATAACTGTGAAATGCGCAGTGAAACTAGAGGCGAACAAGTAGAAAGGAAATTGAGACCACGGTATGATGAGGAAGTTGAAGAAAGCTTCTCTGTTAACAGGGTTTGTAGATGAACTGACGAATTGCTAGAGCCTACATCATCCACAAGTCTTGAAAGTGAACACCCCTTTCATAGTCTGGATGTGCAGTATAAACGAATTCAAGGGAGGAGCACATTCAATTCGCTTGACCTGGATTCATGAAATGTTCGAGAAATGAATAAGCATCTTTTATTGAATATGAATATGACTTCATCAGTAGACGATACCTTATTCACTGAATAGTCTTTTATCTGTTTCATGAGATACATTCGTGGGAAATCCCATATCAATCTAACTGTTCGTGACATTATTTATTTTGCATCAGTCATTCAAGATTCCCATATAATAAAATAATAATCACTTTTTATTCTGTGATTCATTTGCTCCGAATAACTTAGGTGGGAGAAGAATTAAAAGTAGGAGGTCGGATAGTTTTGTTGGAAGAATCTGGTGGAGGAGAACAGAAACTGTATCTGATGGATCGCAAAAATGAGGTTATGTTTTTCGAAAAACCTCTGATGAGTTTCAAAAGTGTTGTGCCACGTAGTATTCAGACTCCAGAAGAAAGTACAGTAGAACCTGGGTAAGATTTTTTGTCTATATGAAATCGTGGGCTTATTTCAAATCACTATTAGTACTGAATTCCTAGTTAAGAGTTATAAACTATTAGGTTAATTGTATGTCGATTCATTAAATTGAAGAATGTACATCATGATTAATGCAAGTATTTATGCCTAGCTGAAATGTAGAAGATGTGATTGTATATATAAGAAAGGGAATATTTCTTGAATATGTATGTGTAAGATAAGGAGAAATCTCGCTGTAATATAATGAAGACATCACGAAACAATGCACACCATGTCTTCGAAAACAGTCGGTCTTTTGAATACATCTGTATGGCGTTAATGAAGAATGGATTATATATGAACAATATGAGGCATTTTAGAGACTCTCCTTTTGGACGAATCTGATTAGACATATCCATTTGGTCATGTGTTTTATGTATGTGTATTCGCGTATACATGTGCATTGATTTACGGTATGATATATTACCTCTGTTCCTCCAGCTGCTTGCTTTCAAAGACGATAAATTAAGTAAATACCCACTTATCTTACATTTGGGTCCTCGTCTATTGACGAGGCACACCAAAATATTATGTAGCCTTTCTTGTGGCAATACATGAATTCGAATGGATCTTATGCTAATGAATGTGTTGACAATCATTCAATTCATCTGTATCATCATCAACAGGTCAGACAGCATATTTACTGACGAAGAAAGATTGTTTAGAAATAATCATGAAGTAGTAGTAGTAGTAGTTTCACTGAAATCATGAGAGTAACTCCTCTCTATTAGAGCAGATCTTGTGGTTAATTAACACAATAATGATATTTACAAAGGCTTTTATCTCATTCATTCTGTCTGATCATTATTATTATTTGAAATGATTAGTTCGTATTTTGCGTACAAATAAAAGTGTCATTGAGATTTACCTATGATAGGCAAACAGGCTGCTCAGGAGAATAAGGCCCAACACTCACTCACTTTCGTTATCTCGACTATTTTTATATTGTTGGAAACGGCAAAGCATTTCCAATTTCATTCTGATATTTTTGCTTTGTAATCTCAACCTCTACTGATCGAGTATCACAAAAACGATCTAGCAACATGGAGATGACAGAAGTCGAAATTTCTCATTCTGCAGAATTATTCCGTATTGTGCGTTTACAATAAATAGACACAAACAACAGTGAACATATACACACACTACGGTGACAGAAAGTGTGTTAATCATCACAAATGTCTTTCTTGAACATCTCATTAGTTTGAGATTCCCTCATTTTCATGCAATCCATGTTGATAATGTTATCATTGATTCTGCCTTATTCAACTTGAAATAAACATGACTGGTTTCATAACTACCACTAGATGAACGTGGTTCAGTGGAATAGGATTAGTTTGCATGCAGATAGATCCCTGATCCTCATAGTCTCCTTTGGATGCTTTAATTGTATTCGCACACATTCGCCTTCATGTTGAATTAAACGAAGAACTGTTATGATTTTATGCTTGTTTGTCTTTGATTTCTGCAATGTTATTCATTTCACACCGAGAATACGACATCATTCTCACTCATCTTTCTTTTTCATTGTTGTTGTCGTTGTTGTTGTTGCTGTTACTGTTACTATTATTATTTGTTTACAGCGAAGCTAGGTAAGATAATTCTACCTCCTTGTGCAATAATGTGTGCTTTGTTTCATGCAAGTTGAAGCAGTAGAGTATTTAATTTCTTGTTAAACTTTTAGGTTATTTGAATTCCCTCTTGTTCAATAAGACAAGGATTGAGCATCATGATCTATGCACGTATTAACGAAATAAAGTTTAAACGTAGAATATGTCATGCTATGTAAGAAGCACCTGTTTGTCGAATATGCTCAAGACAGACAGATAAACATTGCGGTATGATACACGAATTCACAAATTCCACATGGATTGCGTTAAATGAAGTACGTAGTATTTCTGAAAAATGTGATGAATGTGAACAACCAATTTTTCAAATAACCTGATTACTCACATCTATTTGGCCATTTCCATTTATACGAAATGGGAATATAAATGGAAGGTATTTCGCCTACAGCAAAAGCTGTTGATAGCCACACGAAAATATTCAGTACAGGCTCATACAACCAGTTACGTTACTTTGACAAACTTCATATTCCCGCGAAAAACTAATCAATTGTCCTACATGATTCGAAGAAGAATCCGTTCCCTTGATAAAATTAACCAAAAGCTGAGGAGCAGCATCTTCCACACCCTTTTTCGATTCGATTTGGTAATGAAATTCATTTTTAATTGAGTATAAGATGTCAGTCTCACTCATGATTGTTCTTACTCTTATTTGTTTACAGCGTAATCAGGTAAGATTTTCCTTTGTATTCAATAGCATACTTCTCTATTCACTTCAAGTCAGCATAGTATTTGATTTTTGGTGGAAAATCTCAATCACTACAATACTCTGAAACATCTCATGAATTTGCTTGCATCCATCACCTGAATTTTTGTCCTCATGAAATTGATCCTGATAATTTGACGACTCAGTCATGCTTACACCTAATCATCAGGCACACCAAGTATTAAGCAACCATCAGATGAGAAATGTGGTAGATGTGGATTAGGTGGGATTGGTTTCGAGGGTGGACAGATGGATCTCTTATCCTAAAAGTTTACAGTAATTAACTTGCTTAGTATGAGGAAATATGTGTCACCTTATCCAAACAAATGAAGATTTATTTCAAGTTTCTGTACTTGCTTGTCTTTGATTTCTGCAGTGTTATGCATTTCACGAAAAGAATACGACATCAGTCTAGATTTATCAATTTTATTGTTGTTACTGTTTCTTGTTTACAGCGAACCTGAGTAAGACTTTTCTTCGTGTTCAATCGTATGCCTTTTTGTCCACTTCTAAGCGGTTTCGTGCTTTATTTCTAGTTAGGAGTTATACATCTTTAGTTTAAATGTAATTTCACTCATTGAACATGGAGTGAACATCATCACTGATGTACGTATGCATTTATGATAAATTGAAATGTAGGATATATAATTGTTTGTAGAAAAAGAAGAAGTATTTTTTGAATATGTGTAAGGTAAGGAGAAATTCTACTGTAATATAACGGAGGGATGACAATTGATCCACCCCATGTATTCAGGAATTGTGAAGAGGTGCTCCCTTCACTATATTGGGATAGAGCTGATGGAGGCCGGATGACAACTGATAATTGTGACTCATTTGTGCAAGCCGCTTCTTTGGAACAGTCTGACAAAAAACATCCGCTTGTGAATTCAATTTATATGAAGAGTCAAATAAAATTGACAACATCACCGAGGAAATTAAGAGTAAGGAGGGTAAAAATTTACGCCTCTTCGATAAGTAATACATTCGTGAAAGGATTATCAATGTAGGTTGAACCCAACAAGAAAGTGATTTCACAAGTACACGACAGGTGTTCTTTCACGAATATTCATCGCCATATCAGCTGCTGTATCAAGGGTGTATTATCATCATTTTACACTAGTTTGGCTTTTATTTTGACAATGGAATTCATGTTAAATCAGGAGTATGGATGGCATGAATCTCACTTATCGGTTTTGTCACTGTTATTCGTTTACAGCGACTTTTATTTCGAATACATGGAGTACACATCAACAGGAGTTAAATATGTTCCAAACAGTAAAGTTCTCTTATTCCTTTGTCTTTCCATCATTTTATTCATCTCATTTTGTTGACCATCACATATATTATTCATTAAATAGTATTCTTACTTCACACACACCATTCATGTGTACATTTGTACTATGTGTCACCCCGATTTACTCAGTGAACTACACAATATGAACTTATTTTCAAAACACTTTTGAAGGCCAGACTGAATTCATTAATATACAACATCTTTTGTACATCCCTCTTCACTTCCGTGTATATTGGAAATAGTTTTGTTGCATTGTGATTATTATTTGTAATAGTAGTATTTGTATTTCGTAATGACCGAATTACAGGAATTCAACCAAAACACAGGGAGGGATAAACTTAGGAATTTGTATTTGGCGGAAGTGTATTTCAAATCAAAATAATAAATATATTAACAAACAACAGTAAGTATTTAAACAATACAAAGATACAAATTGCCAATCACCACATGCATCGAAATGACGAATGTGTTTAAAGAGCGATATTATCTGTGGTGTATTTCTGCCGAATTTATCATCATTATGTACTAATGTAAGACTCACATCAAACTGCCTGCCATGTTGAATACACCCCATTCGTGGTTCACAGTCTAATGTATCACTCTGTAACCACCTGCTAAGTATCTCTTACATTCATTCATTCATTCACTCTATGTAATATGGTCATGTACACACTGTCGGTGTCTTCAGTGCTCGGATGTTGACTGTGTGACTGTGATATTTGAAATTCACTATTCTCCTCCGAGGATTGGAAGAAAGGATACTTATTCAAACTACCAAAGAAAGGAGACCTAAGTCAATGCAAGAACTGGCGCGGAATTAGGCTCCTGTCCATCCCAAGCAAAATACTAAGCCGCATCATCCTGGAAAGGATCAAACAAGCCCTGGATGAAAAACTTCAACCGGAACAAGCTGGATTCAGGAGAAACAAGTAATGTATTGATCAAATCGCCACACTACGGATCATCATTGAACAAAGTCTGCAATGGCAGTCACCTCTCTATCTCAACTTCATCGACTTTGAAAAGGCCTTCGACAGCGTCGATCGAGAGGTGATTTGGCAACTACTTCGCTACTACGGGGTGCAGCCGACAACTATACATCTCATCCAACAGTTGTATGACAACGCTGCATGCCAAGTAATCCACAACGGGAAGCTCACGGAATCCTTCGAAGTGAAGACAGGAGTAAGACAGGGTTGCCTACTATCGCCAATGATTTTCCTGATTGCAGTAGATTGGATAATGCGACAGACAGCGGGCGATGAGGAAACAGGCATAAAATGGACTCACACAAAGAACTTGGAGGATCTGGACTTCGCCGATGATATATGTCTGATTTCCCACAAACTGGAAGATATGCAAGTGAAAAGTAACAAGTTAGCAGAAGAAGCATCAAAGATAGGACTCCAGGTGAACATAGAGAAAACGGAGGTGATGAGGATTCCTGGCCAACACCAACAGCCACAGCAACAACAACAGACAGCAATCAGCATAAATGGAAGGAACCTGAAAGAAACAACCTCCTTTACCTACTTGGGAAGCATTGTTCCAACTACAGGCGGAACTGACGAGGATATCAAAGCAAGGATTGGGAAAGCGAGGCAAGCTTTCATTACTCTCAAGTCTGTGTGGAGGTCAACAGCATTCAGCGTCAAAAAAAAATCGGGATTTTCAACTCCAAT